GTTATAGCAAAACCTTATTTCCAAGTTTTTTGAAAATACATTTTATAAATTCAAATAGCCAACATAAATCAGAGGTGATTTAGAATTCTATGTACATTATAAAATTACTAATTTTAAATAAATTAGTCCTTAAACAAGATTACAAATTATAGAGCAGAACTTTAAATTTTATTTTTATTTTAGGGAAAAACAGAAGTTTACAGATATTTGATATGAAGTGTTCACACACAGAATGCATCTCTTATGTGACACTAGGAAAATTTTCAGTATAAGCTATAACATCATATTTGAAGATAAATCCATGAATTCTAATTTTTAAAAACCTGTAAGATGATTTGCAACTTTAGGATATCAGATACATGGCATGCAAATCATTATTCTTGAATGCTATGTATTCATTCATAAAAGACTTCTAAACAAAGGAGTCTGAATTTGGTTCACAGTTTATAAACTTTGCACAAATTTTGTTATGATAACCTGTTACCCACAGAGGAAGTTATCCATAAACAAAAACAATCTGGTATTTACTAATTTTACACAATCCATTGTAAAACTTCCTGGTCTAAGGCTTTAACCAACTGGGATTTCATATGAACCATAACCAGAGAGAATGAACAATGATAAATTAACAGTATCAGAGAAAGCAGATGACATAGAGTTAAACATTCAGTGTATATAATTAAATAAAGTTTCTTTCTTTTTTTCTTTCTTTCTACCTCATACAAGTGATCTAGTGATCTAAATCATAGAATTTCAAATCCATCTATGGTTGTTGTCAAATTCAGTAATTAAAAATACAACCCAGTGTAGAAAGGACATTTTTCTCGTAATTTTAAAGATATTTATGTCTTACTATTTTTTAAACAAATTATTTACCCAAATAAATTCTTGCAATCACCTGCTGGTTCCTATGAGTATTTATTGACAGTTATTTCTAAATTACATAAATGTGTTAGTCACCAACAAGTAAATCTTGTTTTAAAAATCATTGATAAGTGTAGCAATTATAAAAATGTAAGATTCTCATTTGTATCTCTGGTTTAAAGTCTAATTAGTGATTTGTACTGATCCAATATTTTATATAAATACAAAATCTAACAATTTGTTTTCTTAAGCCTATATGAGGTTATAGATATCTTTACAAATTTTGTTCAGAAACTGAATTTTAGAAGACATGCTCCTGAACACAAAACGTATTTTATGAATTATCTTAAGCATAAAGAAACACAAATATCCACTTTTATCATTCAACAACACATTACTATAATGCATTGCAAAATATTTGCTAATGGAAATGCAACAATTTTTATTTACCTAACCTGTTACTTCACACTGTAGTACAGAATAAATTTTATAAAGGCAAAATTTTGATTTATTCTGACATTAGCAACATGATTTAATTCAAAAAGTCAAAAGATTTATAGAGGTAATATTTCCAATTCAAACAGTATTTTGCTGGATTTCAATTTTTCCACAGAGCTCTGAAATAAATAGATGTTTTTAAACTTTGCTTTAAGATGTTTAAAGGGGTTTCAAGTATTCTACAGATACAGACTTTAGAGAACACTGAATTCTTTAAAAAAAAAAAAAAGGCTTTTTTTTACTCCATTGTAGGGTCTTGAAGACTTTTTTTTTGTCCAAAATCTCATTTTCACCTGCAATAATTGTATTCAGGTTTTCTAGCAGGTAAAGTGTACATTCTTACAAGGTTTCAAATTTCAGAATTCCAATAATGCATTTAAACTGAGCACCCACTGAATCACGTTCTGTTCTCTTTGTTGTGTGTGTGTGTATGTGTGTCTATTATCTTCCAATTCTAATATTTATATTAAATTTTAGTCTTTTTAGCTCCCCAGAAATACCTTAGTGAACCCTCAGCAATTGCTAACCACTTAATAATTGTGAACCGGTGAGCCTCTTCAAGTAGATCGTTAACCACAGAGTGCCTGACAATTTCCAAATCCTATCCTCTGTCCAAAAGGAAAAGATAGGGCTTTGTGAGGCCGAAAGGAAGCGAAGGAAAACAAAACAAATGTAGCTCATGCTGAAAGTGAAAAGTGCTTGGACAGATTAGTATTTTCTTTTCTGCAAGGCGCCCTGCCAGATTTTTTTTTTTTTTTAATAGAGAAGAGTTATTTTTTGGTCTGATTTTTCAGTTTCTTGTAAAGTGTTGGTATTTACCATCCCCACCGGCCCCTCATAATTGTGGTTGGTTGGTTGTGTTTTTTCCATCCGTCCACATCACAGACTGCTGATCCCCCCGCCTCACTCTGTCAAAACCCCAACTCTGGGCGACCCTGGGTTTGGAAACTCCGCGGACTCCCGACGACACATCCCACTCGTACTCTCACGCCTCTTATTTTGGTTGCAAGATCCCTCACTCCAGTTGCAGTGAAAGCCGGAAATTTTCATTTAACTAACCCCCCTTCCTTCTCGCCCCCCACTCGGAGCCGAGAGCTGGGGAGCTGAGAGGCTCAGAGCACAGCCGGGTCTCGGCCGCCTCCCCTCTCTCCGGAAGGCTTTAATTTGCACACTTGCTTGCCACTGCGCAGCGAGCCCCTAACCCCGCCGCCGCCGGGTGGGTCTCCGGCAGAGTCGGCCTCCGGGGCCCCCGCCCTCGCCCCCGCGCGCGCTGCTTCCCCGGCTCGGCCCCGAGCCCTGGCCTGAGCCCCGCAGCCCCCGTCCGCCCCCAGCGAGCGGCGCGGGCGGCGCCCGCCGCCGTCCCTCCGCCGTCCCTCCGCCCTCCGCCGCTGTGCCCACCCCTTCGCGGGAGAGAGTGCTGGTAACTCCTTCCTCCGAGCGGGTTACCTGCTCGGCGCCGCGGTGGACACGTGCGAAGGTCCGACAGACCCTCGCAGCCCCCTCGGGAGGCCCGAAGCTGCCGGGCCCCTCAGGTAAGGAGCTGTGCGTTCGGGTGGGTGGGCTGCGGAGTAGGGGGTCCCCCGGGGAGATTTGGGAGCGTGGCCAGGGTCGGAAGCGAGGGTGTGGGTGGGGGTGACTGTGGGGGGGGGGGTGTATGTCTTCGGCATTGGCTTTAGTTAACCCCTTACGAGCCGAGGCAGGCTAGTTACGGGGACCAGTTTTGAGGAGCTAGAGGAGTCTCTCCTAATCTGGCAAGAGAAGGACATCCCACACCAGGGACACCCCCAACACTAAGATCCTGTGCCTGCTCCCACATAGCCGTGCGCACAAACACCCACACACTCATCAAGCTTCTTAAAGCGGAATACAAACCCCACTCGGACACACAGAATAGTCCACACTTTAGGGTTTAAACTGCATTGCCTCTGGGGACTCCATGCGGGACTTTGTGTTTCCGTGCCCCACATTCATTTCCCCACTAAAGCTCACTCTCAAGCTCGCGGAGGTGTGGGTGTGGCCTCCACCTACTCCACCACGAGATAAATGTTAACGCAGGCTTCTTGCTGCCACCCCCTGCGGGGGTGTTATGCACACTTACAGGAGTGCACATAGGCGGCCAGTGCACAGGCTTGGAGCCCCACAAGGACGCACGTTTGCTTTAGTTTCCCAGTTTAATTTTATAATTTAAAATATCCGAGTTAAAACGCACACCCGGCGCTGCGCAGCTCCGGGCCCCGCAGCGCGCCCCACAGTCTGCACGTGGGGCGCATCTGCGTGTGCGCACACGCGGGAGTCGTGGTCCCAGTGCGGCCTCTTGTCGCTGCGCTGGTGGCGACCCTTGCGGTGCTTGGCAGGCTTCGGGAGAGGCACATGAAGGATTTCATTGAGTGTGAAGACAGAGAGCAGAGACAGAAAGCAGAAGGAGGCGGCTGCAGCCTTTGTAGTCGCGGAGGAATGCGGAAATGTTGAAGCACTATGTCAAACTTTTTTGAAATGGGGTCAAGTCACATTCAGCCAGCGTGGGAAAGCAACAACAACAACAAAAAAAAGTGGAGGAGAGGGGGGAAAAAGGCACTGTTGCTCCCGTTTCTCTCCGCCGGAGCCGACCGTCCGGGGAGCGAGGGGGGAGAGCCAGGGCGGGCGGTGCGGGGCCGGGCTGGGGCAGCGGGCGCAGCTCCCTGCGGGGGTGGGACGTCCGCGACGCTGCCTTAGCTGCTGAGCCTCCGGTTGGACTAGCGCGGGAGGGGGATGCGGGAGGGGCGGGCTGCGCAGCCGGCGGCGGCTCCTCCGCTACCTGTGTGGCCCTAGGCCTGGCTCAGACCCCCGTGCAGGCTGGGGGTGGGGGCTCGGTCCTTGGCTCCCCCAGGATTTGCCTTCACCTTTTAAGGAGAGTTTTGAATGGAGTGAGTGTGAGGGGCTCTGCGCTCGCTGCGGTCCCCTCTGCCATCACACCGTGAGGATCGCGCCATTTGTTTCTTTAATTCCTGGCAGAAGGCGAGCGGGCCAGCGGTTGCGGGGCAGGTAATTCCGAGGTGTCCCGGGAATTCCAGACACGCGGCCGGCGTAGCGAATGTCCGGCGGAGGCCGCGGCGGCCATGGGTTGGAGGCTTCCTAGGTCCTGGATTGCAACTGAAAGGGGAGGGAAGTGTGCCCCTACCCCCCCTACCCCTCCGCACTTTGTTGTGCGGAGGGCTTGGGGGGGGGGGCGTTTGGCTTTTGATGAGACCAGGCCTTAAGCCGAAAGAGGAATGGAGCAGCCACCTCTGCTACTTAAGATCTAGAAGATCTGGAGAAGATCCAGGGAGTGGGAAAAGGTTCGCGAGTCCTGGCCCCGAGGGCGCAGCCCCTTCTCTCTCACCCCCGAGGTTTGGCATTTACTCCCCCCACCCCCAGCCTTTTTAAGACGAGGGTGAGTTTTGATGAGGTTGAAATTAGTTGAGAATTTCAGAGCGAGACGCGGTTATGCTACCTTCCTCCCGAAGTTATTCTTTAAGGAGATGACAAGCTAAGTGCGACGAATACCCCTTTCTCCCACCCTTATGGTCCCCTGGGCGACTCCCCCCTCCAGGGCCCCCCTGTTCCTCCGCTCCCGATTAGCGGGAGCCCCAGCCCTCCCCGACCTCATGGGTTTCCACCAGGGAGGTCCTCCGAGTCGGAGGAAGAATTCCGTTTCCAATCCAGACGTCTTTACCCCAAAAAGACCATTTGTGTGTGCAAGTCGTTTTTAAATGTCTCCTCGTAGAAAAACTGAAAGTAGAAAGAAAGGAAGCAATTTCCTAGCAGATGTCTGACCACCCCTTCTCGCACACTCCCAGCATCGGGTTACAGGGTCCTGGGAGCCCCCACCCCCACATTCTGCAGCCCCACACGGGTGGACCCACAGACCCTCCACAGCAGCTTGTGCACAATCCCTGAAAGCCCCACGGCACCCCGGGAGCCCCTCTCCTTGCACGTCCAGGCCCGGGGAGGAGGGGTGGGTAGCACTGCAACACAATGATGCAGGGATAAATATTAAGCCGTGACATTGACGTGCCCGGCACCTCCCCTCCCCCGCACTCCCGGCACACTCTGGGCTGCTCGGCACGCCCCCTCCCGTTCCACTGCGTCCCGCGCCGCGCGCTCATCCCCGAGGGGCCCCTGCAACCTCTCCGCGCGAAGACGGCTCCAGCTCTGCAGGGAAAGAAAAGTAACTTCGCTTTTCTCGGAGGAACCAGGAAGGATTAAGCAGCCTGGGAGAGGGCAGGAGTGCGCCGAGGGTAGCGATGGGGGCTTTCTGAAGTAGGAGGGGGGGAGTCTGCGGGAACCCGGAGGAAGGCGCCTGGGATGTCTGATTGCACTTTTCTTGTCCTCTGGTCTCTTCTTTTAGGTGGAAGGATTGTGGACTGAGACGCTCTGGGGCAGAGACTATGTAATCGCTTCGGTGTCTGTGCAGAAGACTGCGCTTCGGGGAGGGAAGAGGAGGGATCGGCTCGCTCCTTGGCGACTCGGCAGGCGGAGTTTCGCGGCGGCACCGGGGTTGCGCCCGCCCGCGGGGAGGTCTCTCCATCCAGCCCCAGCGGCCGCGAGAACCCGAGCGCCGGAGCGCGGTAGTCGGCGGGGGCGAGGGAGAGCGAGACCGAGCTCCGGGGCGCGAGGGAGCGGGCCGGGAGTCCGGGAAGAGGCGAGCGGCGGCCGCGAGCGAGCCGAGCGCGCCCCCCCCCGCCCACCCCAGCGGTGCCGCGCCGGGCGGCGTCCGGGCGGCATGGAGAAGGACGGCCTGAGCCGCGCAGACCAGCAGTACGAGTGCGTGGCGGAGATCGGGGAGGGCGCCTATGGGAAGGTGTTCAAGGCCCGGGACCTGAAGAACGGAGGCCGTTTCGTGGCGCTGAAGCGCGTGCGGGTGCAGACGGGCGAGGAGGGCATGCCGCTCTCTACCATCCGCGAGGTGGCGGTGCTGAGGCACCTGGAGACCTTCGAGCACCCCAACGTGGTCAGGTGAGCCGGGGAGCGGCGCCCGCGCCGTCGGAGGCCGCGCGTGCCCGGGGAGGGCCGGGGATCCTTGGGGCGGGAGGGCGGCCGGGGAGGCATGGCCCGTTGCCCTTACAGAGTGAGAGTAAGTTTTGTCGACAGAGCTGCAAGCCAGAGCCGGCGACCTTGCCAGACAGCGAGCAGAAAGACGAGTCAGGCAATGTGACCTGCGCAGGCTTCCCCGCCACGGTGCAAGTTGTGTTTTCTCCCTGCTGTCCCTGAAAGGGGGTCCAGGAAGTTGGGTGCCTTTTAGGGAACGAGCCAACCTGAGACGTGCCCTGCCAGCCCCCGCGTATTTTCCCTGGCCATTGGGGAATTTCTGAGAGGCTGAGAATAAGAGAAGTGGCAGGATTCGGTGAAAATTAGTAGGATGAGAACTTTCCTCGTGGAGCCTCGTATAAATAAAGTTTTACGAAAAAATAGCAACTTAAGAATATTATTGCCAGTCACGTCCAGTTTTTCTTACTGAAGTTATATAATGGTAAATAAGTGTCCAACAGAGTCGCCTAAAAATTTTTTTCCATGAATATTGCCTATTTCTGTGTATTACTTTATGTCTCTAGGCTAACGTGGTCTTCAGACTACTTCTCAAAAGTAGTGATGTGTGTGAATCTAAGATGTGGAATCTCTAGATTCTAAACGTTCTGCTTTTGCTTTATCTGGAGGGGATGTGGAAAGTGGATGGGGAGACAGCATGTCTTAAAGCCTCTCCTGTGTGGTAACCAGTAATTAAACTAAAGTGTGTGTGACTAGGATAATGGTGTTTTCTTAGTGATCCTGGAATTTCCCCATTGTGTGGTTGACATTATGTGGTGTGTCATGCTTTTCTTTTCTAAACAGATATGCGTAGTTTTAAGTAGAAAAGGAATGCACAGAAACATTTATAAATTAGGGTGTGATTTTTACCTATCTCAATTCTTAGGAAGGTGTGTTTGAAAAAGGAAGTCTTGGGGTGTTCTTCTGTCGTCTCATCTATCTGCGAAGTCTGTTCAACAAATACATACCTACTGTGTGCGCTGTAGATGAAATTATGTAAATAAGTACAACTAAATATTTTTGTAAAAAGTCAAACAATTTAATATTAGTCATCAAAGTCAAGAGACCCAAGACTGACCTTTGAAATACCAAGACCTCCAGAGACTCGGAGCCCAAGTGTCTACCAGATCTTCCTGGGAGGCTTTGACTTGTCTCCCCTTATCCTGTGTGATTTGTGTGGTGCTTTGTTTCCCAACACAGTTAGTTAGGCTAAGGCTAGAAGGCTGCAAAGAATCATAAATACGTAAGTAAGATAGTAAATGGCTATGAAAATAGGACCCTCATTATAAACCTCTGCTTTAGCCTGTAAGAGAAGAGGGGGCAAAGGATAATGAGGCCAGGAGAATGAGTGTTTTAGGGAAGATGGCATTATACATAACAGCAATAGATTACCTTCTGTGCATGTTTTCTTTGTTGAAAACCCAGAAAAACACTTCCTGTGAGTCTTTGTGATATTGGAGGGAAAGGGGAGAGTACATTTTGTCCCCTGTAACTTAGTTATCTTCCTGGAGGAATCACCTAGGTGCTTCCCAAAAGATAAATTCCACCCCTAGAATTTTAGGATCCAAGTTCTTGTTTTATTTTGTCTGTTGCCTGTGGAGTGTGTCCATTTAAGGATCCTTATGTGTAAATAAATAAAATACTGTCTTTCCAACCTAGAGGTGTTATAGAGGCACCCCTGTGTAACGCTATCTTTTACAAAGCACGATTCCTGTAACAGGATGGTTTTTGCCATTGTGTTGGTAGATTTTGGCTGATCCATTCTTATTCTCTTGATTTATCCTCTTGAATTTGGTTTGTCTTTAAAGATTTCTAACTGACCCATGACTTAGATTCTGTCCTGAGAAATTTCAGGAGACTATACTTACAAATTCAAGACGAAGTTACCTAAAAGTTTTTTAAAACCTTATTTTTACAGATTAGGTGGTGATGATGATGCCTACCTCTTAGGAGTTGTGAGGAAGAGCTGAGATAGTGTAGATGAGAGCACTTTGTAAATTGAAAAATGCTTCAAATGTCCAAGTATTATTTGTTTTCATGCTGACTAGTGTGGCCCTCACCTGGAAACAAGTTCCCAGTAAAGCATCAGTTCCCCTGACCTTTTCTATAGAACAAATCATTCTCAAACCCAGACATTACAGGCTCTGAAACCAAGAAACTACTTGGATATAATGGTCAGAAAAGACCATCAGTCATGTCATGAAATTCAGTGACTCTTGAGAAAATTATTGATGTCATCTTCACGAGCTACATATCTCCGTTTTATTTTGTTTCCTTCCTGTTCTCTTCTTCCTCTGCCTTGGGGCTGTCATTGGTCCCCATGACTTGCTTCACTAGACTAGGAATTCAGGATTTTGAAGGTTGCTAATATTTGTTCAGGCAGGTCAGCAGTCAAGGACAGGTGACAATAATTCTTTTCTTTCCAAGGGAGAGCGGTCAAAGTTGGACCCCCCCCCCCAATACCTGAGACTTATTGGTGCCCCACAGGACTAGTGTTAACAGTGCTATGGCTGTTTCTTTAAAGGCTTTTTTTTTTTTTTTTTTAAAGATTTTATTTATTTATTTGACAGAGAGGGAGATAGCGAGAGCAGGAACACAAGCAGGGGGAGTGGGAGAGGGAGAAGCAGGCTTCCCGCGGAGCAGGGAGCCCGATGCGGGGCTCGATCCCAGGACCCTGGGATCATGACCTGAGCCGAAGGCAGACGCTTAACGACTGAGCCACCCAGGCGCCCTCTTTAAAGGCTTTTTAAAAAAGGACAGATGTCTTTGTAAGTGCCTTCAAGTCATAAGTAATTGATCATAACTATAGGCCCTTTTCACAGGTAGTGAAGCCTCTAAGCTTGAAGGAGCATAATAAACATATTAGTTTTTTTGAAAGTTTAAGATTTAATTTTGGTGGATATGCCAGAAAGGCTGACTTGTTGTTGCTGGTACTGGCACTGCCTTTATGCACAGGGGTAATGACTTGAAATTCTTGTTTACCTGTGCTTGATGTATCCCAGGCCCGGGCTTGATCGGCCAGTCAATGTCTAGGATGTAAATTTACTCTTATTTTATAGTCGGTAATCCCAAATCCTAGAGCCTTTGCCAGAATCAGACTTCTGTGTGAACCTGTGTTGGAGCTTCTGCACTCCACAAAGGACTCCTCTGTTTTACCTTCTGAACTCAATCTGTATGTGGTTAGATAAAATAATAATATGTCCTATCAGCAGTTTGTTGATGCACCAGATGGGTAATGATGGCTTATTGTGTACTGGGGATTCATCAGTGAACAAGTCAGAAAAAGTCTCCATACTTTTAGAACTTACTTGGTCATAAGATAAGTCATTGTTTTTTCTCTTTAAAAATTCACTTCTCTTTATTTCCGTGGGCTTGTTGTGCTGTATTTAGGCTCACTAGTTGTGTAGAGCAACTAATATTTATGATAATTTGGTTCCCAGGAATTTGCTGATTAACTAACAGATAACCAAAACACTAATCACAATCAAGTGCTTTTTGAAGCATTAGGGAGAGACCTACAAATAGATGTCTACAGGATGATATTGACATGGAACTAATAGGAACTTTTGGGCTCCATGTATTTAAGAAGGATTTAGGAAGGACCTACTGTTTAAAAACCGTGGGGTTAGGTGCTGGGAAAGATACCTGGGTAAATCACGCCTACTTCCCTCAAGTAAGTCCCCTCCCATGTTTGAAGGAATAAGAGGATCCCCAAATGCTGATACGTGACGGTCTTGTGTCATGACAAAGAGATTGGTAAGCACTACCAGTGTTGTCCCCAGGCATTAGATTTATTAGTGTAATTCAAATCGAGTACTGGTTCAGAAACTAAAACTTACGGCATTTCAGTGGATAAACTTATGATATCTGAATATGTTAAATTATTGTTGGCATATTTAATCACTGCTTTGGGAAAACACAACAGAAAAATCCATGCAGCTCAGTGATTATTATACAAGGAGAGTTTTCCAAGTTTCTCTTTTTTTTTTTTTTAAAGATTTTATTTATTTATTTATTTGAGAGAGAGAATGAGAGAGAGAGCGAGAGAGAGAACACGAGAGGGGTAGGGTCAGAGGGAGAAGCAGACTCCCCGCCGAGCAGGGAGCCCGATGCGGGACTCAATCCCGGGACTCCAGGATCATGACCTGAGCCGAAGGCAGTCGCTTAACAACTGAGCCACCCAGGCGCCCCCAAGTTTCTCTTTTTAAAGAGCTCAGTAACATGGCACAAAAGGAAAATAATAATGTGATTTTTCTTTGGGAAAACTCAGTCATTAACAGGGTACAAGAAACATGCGTGTTATTTGATGCGGCATAAAGCTGAATCCTCAGGTGGGTCAGTTCATGGGAATCCTTATGAATAAAAGTGTTGCTTTGTGGGTGAATAATGTGTCTTTTAGGGCTTGTTTTAGTGAAAGCAGGAAAAACAGGGGTCTTTAAATTCCAGTGTGTTAGACGGATGTTTGGCCCTTCATTCTTGAAGAGTCCCTTGAAAAGTTTCCAATTTATCAAGGTTGTTTAAGAAATAAACATTTTCACAATTATGTTCTGCCCATTCCTTGTTCCTGCTGAAGAACTTGGTGATGCTGAATTGTTGATATTGCACTTGTATCCTTTTTACATAACTGTTATCGTTCTGGAATTACTAGAATTTCTCTGTTAAGGAGGAAATGGCTTAGAGAAGGGGAATCTGTATAAACTTGAATATCTCTTGGTGTATTTCCCTATGTTTAACATATGGACAAGTGACTATCTGAAAACAGACTCCTTGTTAAACATAAATTATCTGTTGTTTTTTTAAATGCCTCACTATCAATGATTCCTTAGGAATGTTCTTTCAGATTGAAACCTCTAATACTTAAATTGTGTCATTGTAAATTCATGGGCATTAGGGTTGGAAGGACTTTGGAAGTCTTTCAGCTCTTTTATGTT